TAGAACCCCCCAAATAGTGCACAAAGATACGAAAGATGAAGGGACTTGCACACCTGCACCCTCCCATAACCAACCACTGGGAAGCGTGCGCATCCAAGGAAAGCACGGTTGTGATGCCGCACCCAAAACACATCCTCCCCATTGGACGTCAGAGATTGGGCGCCCATGTTATCATACCCAAACTGTCGAAGCACTCAGTCTAGGCAGTACATAGAGAGTTGTGCCTCACCTGTGCGATCAATGTAGGCAATAACACCAGGCCAGGTGATCAATCGCGCCATACTCGCAGCAACACTCTCCATGTCTCTTGGCCTGAAGCCAGCGCTTCCCCCTGTAGACCTCGAAAACCTTTTCCTCTGCCCCGCCACCATCAAGAGTGCCAAAATGTACACGAAAAGGGTGTAGACTTCGCGGCATCACACTGAGCTTAAACCACACACAGATGAACATCCAAAGGAAGGGGGCGAAAACATAATTCACACCTCTTGCAACTGGGGTCATTAAGTTTCTACATAGTGTCATCCAGTTGCTTGTACAAATACCCGAGAAACATTGATGCTAATAGAAGCTGATGTCCACTAGCAGTAAGGACAGCAAGGGGAATCAGAACGGTGCGGAGACCATAGTCAGGAATTCCCGGGAACAAGAAACGGGATGCCACATAGAGAATATAGGTAGCAAGGTGACACTGTGAGCCAGCACCTCGCACCATGACATCCCTCCCGCTACGGCACTCAAACCAATATCTCATCCACTGGTCCAACGACATTTTACCCTGGGAAGTGGATTGGTCCACCAACGCTTTATATGGAGGAACTTCCCCAAGAAGCTCCTCACACAACCCCCTCAATTCTGTAGGGATAGACTCAATATGTTGCAAATGCTACGCAGACACAACACCTCCAACCGACAGCACCAACAAGGCTGCCACATCCTCCACTGTATGGTAAACTCCCCAAATGCACCCACGAAGGTGTGGGTGCGGCAACACCAATGACCCAGAAGGTGGTTGACATACTTGATACCCTCCCGACCCATGAGATTGGTGTAACAATCCACAAATCTAAGAAGCTTGGCATCTTGTAACATTCGGCAATACATAGGGTTCTCAAGAATGTATTGCATCCAGGCGGTATAACTGTTGGGAGATTTCAAACTATCGGTTCGAAGCTCCTAGCACTTGTAGGACATAGACACATAGATAGGGTCACAAAGACACATTAACTCCGTGCCAGTGATAAAATCAAATGAGCCACCCTTACCCATGGACACAGGCATGAGAGGCCAGAAACTCCTCCCACCATCGACCACCAGGGCCGCCTCCCATTCCACTACCAATGCGGTAGTATCGACTCCCTTAACGAAGTTAGTGAAAAAGGAGTGGTTTTCCCTGTTGAGGAGCCATGAAGAGGATGAAATAGACACAGAAGAAAGAAATAGGAGGAAAGAAAAGAAAGGAGAGGGCCTTAGAAGCAACTTAGAGCACAAAGGACTATGCGGAGATGGTAGCAAGAGGTAAAGAAGAAACCGATGTAGTTACCCTCCCCTGTTTTATAGCAATTTTCCTCCTTCCACACGCGTAAAAGGCCAAATGGCATTGGAGAAGACGAAAAGACACTTATACAACGTCCCAAATGATGCTTAGAAAAAAAACAACTAAGGTAAATTACATAAAAACCCTTAGGAAGGCGGAACCAAATGGCACATTAATTCAAAAGAAATGCCACATCAACAACCACCACCAAATACGTTTCAGATATCAGCACAACCCCACAGTGTGACTGACTCGCATTTATTATTGAATGACAAATGAAGAGCTGCCAACAATGGCTGACACACGACCACCCTCGAAGAATGTTTTCTTAATCCTCCATCAACCACAGAATCCCAATAGACCACCAAGTCACTCATCATTGACAAAAAACACACATCGAAGATCGATCCAATCATCACACAGGAGGGCTCCATCTCCGCCAAACCATTAATGACGCCAACCCCTCCCTTTCCCGCTGACAACAACAACCAAAAAAGGCGACAACGAAACAGATGTCCCCCCCAACAGCCAAGGGGGCTAAAACTCACAAGCTAAAAATGAGCTTACCCCTGAGCGGAAGGAAAATAACTGACGAAGATGACCCACAGTGTCATTTACTATTTACCTCCCCGCAAATAGACAAAGGGCTAAAAATGCACACGAGTTTACGCACGAGTAGAACGAAAATGACCGACAAAAGAAACTCCAAATGCCTTTTGCTAATTCCCTTCCCGTCGATGGTCAGGGGGGCTAAAACACAATAATGAAGCATGGCATTGACCATCAATAGGAAACAAATTGCCAAAAGACAAGGGGGGTAAGCCACGGAACGAAAGACATCACCACCACAAACATAAGGCGTACAGGATCCACACAAAGCCACAAAACAGGAAAATCCCCAGACCCAATGCACAAAGCAACCACAAACACAAGGTGCTTATCGATAAGCTCCCACTTATCGATAAACAGGGGGGCTAATGTAGGTATATAGTGTTCGCTCAGACCCTCAGAGAACATCAAATATCAAAACTAACACCACAAGGTTGCATGTGAACAACCTGCAGTCAACCCTCGTGCTGTGATGAACCCGCAACACACTACAAACCCTGCGATGAACTCACAACCCGTATCACAAAACTGTGATAAACCCACCGTTTACAGCTCCACTTACGACCCAGACCAAGGGTGGGTGAGGCCCGCGTGTGCCCAGAGACACGTGGAACCCACAACCGCAAAAGACACACCAAGATGCCATGTAGAGTCAACAAGGCGCTGTCCGCTAAACGGTGATGTCATCAATGCCACGTCAATTAAGTTAAACCGCACAAAAGGTAGTAGCACACGTGAGTAATGAGGAATCTTGAGGAGAAGGTAAGCCAATCATCGGGAAGATTCTCATGAGACACGTGGTGAAACCTAGTAGCGCACTTAATAATTGACAGTGCATCCAATATTCTCTTCCCCAATATGTTTCAAATACTTTTATCTCCTACCTTTTAGGATCTTGGGTTCTCCCCCATAAATAGAGGTCCTCCTTGTATTGAAATGGAATCATCATCCAACATCCGACATCCAGTACCCAAGTACTCCCTCACTTTGATCCCTTATCCCAGCATCCTTAACCTCAAAAACCTCTATCTCTACCCATCGGCCTCTCTCTGTCTTTCAAAGAGACCGTCCTCCATCCAAGCCATACCCTGCTTACAAACATAATTCAAAAGGAAGGAAGTTGTCGAAGAAGTGAAAATTTGGAATGAAACTAAGAGGTGGTTGAAGACTAAGCAGTAATGATGAGAATCACCCTAGTTATCGTGGAGTGAGGATGCGTAGTTGGGGCAAATGGGTGTCGGAAATCTGTGAGCCAAGAAAGAAATCAAGAATCTGTCTTGGGAAATTCCCCACTCTAGAGATGGCTGCCCGAGCCCATGATGTTTGCTGGACTTGCTATCAAAGGCAATTCAGCTTTCCTCAATTTCCTTGAGCTAGTTCATGAGCTTCCCTGTCCGGCCAACTTATCGCACAAAGACATCCATGCTGCTGCTGCCAAAGCAGCCGCAGCCACATTCGACAAGCAACCAGCAAGTTGCAAAGTTGAAACTGAAGACCAAGGTGAGTAGAGCCAACCAAAATTTCCAATTTCTCATTTCCTAGCTCTCACCATCATGCCGGATGACAATTGAGGAGAATTCTCATCAATGTTTCCATCCACAGATGAAGATGCACTGTTTGACCTGCCTAATCTAGTCCTCGACCACACCACTACTCCAAACATATTTGACTTCTCTTCATCTTTGGTGTCACCTACAACCAACTTCATCACATGCAGGTTGAAGGAACGACAAATGACCACGCATCAACTCCTCCAAACCCCGCTGGAACTCTGCACGAGCATCGCTGCTCTCCTGATTTTGTTGCCGCAGCCCAAAATTAGAAACCAGAAAACCAGAAGCTCTACTCTTCCTCCACGCAACCAACGACAAATGACCACGTATCAACTCCTCCAAACCCCATTGGAACTCCGCACGAGCATTGTTGCTCTCTTGCTTCTGTTGCTGCAGCCCAAAATAAAAAAACCAGAAAACCATAAGCTTTGCTCTTCCTCCACGCAACCAACGACAAATGACCATGCATCAACTCCACCAAACCCCACTGGAACTTCGCACGAGCATCGTTGCTCTCCCGCTTCTGTTGCCACGGCCCAAAATCAAAAAACCAAAAGCTCTACTCTTCCTCCACGCAATCAGAAAACCAAAAGCCCTAACTTTACATGGCAATCTACATATAATAAGTCGAGATTTTCTTCAGGTCAGAGATTATAAATAGGGAAAATTCCGACGTTGCATTTGAGTGTTGATTTCAACATTTCCAGCGTCACATTCGCTTGACATCATCGGCGTGAGGAACTGGTTTCTTCTGAATTTAAGGTAATAGATGTGGTGAACAGTGGTTCCCGCTTGCAAAGAAAGGATTATAGTTGGGGTCATTTTTGTTATTTCAAAAATTAATTCATGTATTGTTCAAAACCGCAAGTGAGTAATTATATCTTTTTGTATTCTGAGTGACAGTGAATTAACATCGGGTACTAGATCGTTGCAAATTAAAAATTTGGGTATTAGATTATTGTATTTTAAAATTCGGGTACTAAATTAACATTCAATCTAAATTATAAGGTATCTATCGAAAATTTTCCCATAAAAAAACATTTTAAAGACTTAAAATAAGGAATGTCAAACACAGCAAGTGTCACTCCCCCGCAGTCACAAATGCGCCTCAATAACGTCCGACAATACATCCTAATCGTGTATCGGGAACATCTCCCAATAACAAATACGGAAGATGTTATCAATGCACGCTGAGACGTGCATATGGGCCGCTTTTGGGGCGCGTTCTGTGGGGGAAGCCACTGCCGCGGCACAATATCGTAATCTATTATCTATTTAGCGTTATAACGCGTGGCTGACCCTTTTCTTTATATACGTTCCGATCGTCTCTTTCCTCTATATTCGTTTCTCCCTTCTCGTGTTCTTGCAAGCATTCAATGGCGTCAACTCTTCAACACCATCTCTTCATCGCCTTTATCTCTCTAGGGCTTCTGGCTATTGGTGCTTCTGCAAGACCTGGTGTTCACTTCCACCCTTGCAAAACCCTATTCATATCCTACACGATCTCCTCCCTGAAACCCTCCAATTCCCTTGACTTCCCGCAAAACCCTAACTCTGCGGATCCAAATCCCTCTGGTTTCTTTGCTGTCTTTAGCGAGATCAGGGAATTCGATCCCAAACCCAACTTCTTCCATTCCTCTGAATTCTTCATCGACCGCCCCGATTTCTCGCGTCCCCGCGTCGTCCGGTCGTACGGAAACGACATGTTAAAGTCCGACGTGTCTCCCCGTCCCGTTCCTTTTTCTACCTTCGGTGTCAGCTCGCTCCGTGAACGGACGAAAGACATTCTCAGCGTCGTCGTTGCTTTGCTTTTCGGTGTCGGCTGTGGGGCTTTGACTTCTGCTACAATGTACTTGGCGTGGTCGTTGATCACAAACAGGTATGAAATCCGTGAATCCGAAGACTACAGTGAGGATTTCTCTGACGATGTTGATGACGATATTGCTAAAGCTAAGAAGATGGGATATGTCAAGATTCCTGCCTCCGAGCCGTCTGCTGCTCCTGTTACTTCTCTGCCTAAATAAGTTGTATGAAGGGTGTGGGGAATAGGGTTTTCGGGGGTTTCTAAATATTGGTGTGTAGATACTTCTATTTGATACTTTTCTGTGGATTATTACTGTGTAAGCTGTTTTATGTCTGTCGATTTAAGATTTGTCATGATGCAGTGCTGTTTACTATCTAATGTGTTGACTTTGGCATTATGACTTTATTTATTTTCTTTTGTTATCATGGCTGGACGGGACTGAATTTGGGGAATAGTTTTTCCCCTTTAATGATACAGGTCGAATGTTGGTTTGCTTATATAAGGTTTCTATTGTTGGAATTTGGATTGCATAGGTATAGGGTCATTACTATGAATGCCGATTTTTCCATATGAAAAACAGAGGGAAACAAAATGGTTCTTCCTGATGTTACATTCAATTAAGGGTTTATATGAGAATTCATTGGGAGTAGGGCTTTGACTAGTAAGTAGCCTAAGATCAATTCCCTAGACATGTTGCAAAAGAGAAGGACCATTTGCTTATCTCCATATTGGTGCATAATCTGTAAGGCTAATGGTGAATATGCTCTTCACTTTATCTCTTGCTCCTTTTCTTTTATTTGAGATTGGTTCTTCACTCTGTTTGGGTGCAGGTGGACTCCTACGAGCTTGGTCAGTTTGTTCGAGGCTGGAGCTTTTAGATGGCTGAGAAAGAGAGGACGAATTTTGTGGAGATGCATGAGGGCTGCTGTTTTATAGATGGTGTGGGAAGAAAGATATGCTAGAATTTTCAAGTAGGAAGAAAGAATCTTGGATTCAGTAGTGAGTTTATCTTGGTAAGGGTGATTCATTGGGTAAAAGCTTCACATTTGTTATCACTCTACTCTTATGATGATTTGAGAAGGAACCAGAGGGAAGTGGCTACATCTTCAACAAGGAACTGCCTGAAGAGAGTTTCTTAAAGTTAAGGTTTTGGTGGTAGCAGCTTTGGCAATCTAGGCCCCTTGGTAATTGGAGGAGTGTTTAGGAACAATGATGGGAACATAGTAGCCTTATTTTCTTGTTTGATTGTAGTTGGAGACTCAACAAGAGCTGAATTGCTTGTTGTCCTACAAGGGGTTCAAAAGGAAAAATGCTTGAACATATAGAGGCTGGTTATTGAAGGGGACTCTAAAGTAGTCATAGGCTGGTTGAGGGATGAAATGGAAGAAGCTTGGAGTCATAGAGATGTTATAAAGAAGATTAAATGGTTAACAAGGGATATGATTGTAAGACTACATTGGGTTCTGAGGGGTGCAAATAGTTTGGCTGATTAGTTGTCCAAACAAGGGGTCTACCTCTCTCCTTGGGATCCCATTGTGTACATATTTTCTGTTTATATTAATGAAATTGTTACTTGTTTCCTATAAAAAAATTTTGTTGCTTTTGCATTAGTAATTCTTTAAACTTTTAGAAGAAACAAAAATAAAGACTTTCTAAATACTTAGACCTAGTTGTTGTGGATAGGATCTCATGTGACAAAAATAAATACTTGTTCCTTGCGATGCCGAGTAGGTGAGAAAAAATGGCAATGGTTGAATGTACAGATAGACGTCCAAGTTGCTCAGCATAGGCGAGTTTTGGGTGTTCTGTGAAAGGGTTGGAAGTGGAAACAAGGGAACATTTTGGTGTTCGAATGAAAAGTAGTAGAGGAAAAAGGGAGGAAAGGGCACAGAACTAGTGAGGAACTATTTAGATTGGTGTGGGGCTTGAATGAGAAAGCTGGAAGTTTGAGTAGAGGTAAGAAGGAAGGTAGAAGGAAATGAATGCTGCAATTCCAGGCTTCCAGCAAGTTTCTACTAAAGAATAAAGTATGGATTCTATTGTGATGGACTCCCTGAGGATGATATCATGAAAAATCTGAGAATTAAACTTGGGTTGAAGAACAGTGGTGGCTAATGCTTTTCTGAAGAAATGGAATCTTGGGATTTTATGCCTCTAGGAAACTAAGATGGATAAAATGGTGGTTAGAAATGTTTGGGGAAGTTGAAGCTGTAAGCGGAAAGCTTTACCAGTGCATGGAACAGCCATAAGAATTCTAGTGGTGTGGGCCTCATCTCTGGTATTTCTCATACACAAGTAGGCCAACTTTCATTGTCTTTTGATGTTTCAGTCAAGGAATGATGACTGGAAATGGGTATTAGCTCCTTAGTGGTGTTGTATGGGCCACACAAAGAAGGTTTCTAGGGGTCTATTTTGGGAGTTTTGTGATATAAGTGACAAATGGTGGTGACCATGGGTGGTCTGTGGTGATATTAATACAATAACATTTTCACCCAAAAAGAAGGGAGTTAACAGAAATAGAAGGGGATGAGGATGTTTGCATAGTTCATGAGAAGGTGGAAGTTGGTGGATTTGCTGCATCTAGGAGCTAAGTTCATGTGGTCAAACAATGGAAAGAGGCTACCCTAGTCAAGTTGGATGGGTTTGTTGTTTCCACTGAAATGAATGAGAGGAGAAATTTTCAGATTTATCTGATCATTCTCCAACCATGGATGACTGTGGAGGCATAAGGGGGGTGGTCCAATACCTTTCGATTTGAGCATATATGGTTTGGATGACCTGGTTTTTTGGAATTAACTGGAGAGTGGTGTTCTGGGATGTCTTTCACTGGATCCACTAGCCATATAATGAGTAGGAAGCTAAAGAAGACCAAGGATTAGAGAAAAGGAGGTGTTTAGTGGAGTTAGCAGGAAGAAAAGTTTTTAGATACGATTGTAGAGATAGGCAGTGTGGAGGAAAATGGAATCATTGATGTTGAAGAAAGAGCTACAAGAGAACAAACAAAACAAGATTATGATTATCAAGAAGAAATTAGATGATGTCAAAGATCAAGATGTAGATGGTTAAGGAGGGGGGCGATAAAATGGCTAGTACAAGGAGGGAGACTACAAACAGAAGTTAGAAGTAGATGGGGAGGTGATAGTGTCGTACAAGATGAAATGTAGATAAAAAATGCATTGCCACTGAAGGATGACTTGCAATTTGATGGTATTATGGAGTAGGTAGGGAGGTGGAGAGACCTAATGAACACACATTGGAGGCAATAAAAGACCTAGAGCAGACAAGGCTCCAAGCCCAGATGGTTTAATGGTGACACTAAACAAGATATGATGGTGAGTTGTAAATGGGGGCTAATGAAGGTCATTGAGGAATTCCATGAAAGAATGCATTGGAGAGGTGCAAATCATACATTTATTACCCTAGTACCAAAAAGAAAGGGTGCCTCAAAATGGCTGACTTCAGGCCAATCATCTTTGTGGTGGGAGTGTATGAACTAATAGTAAAGTTGTTGGCAAATTAAAGTGATGGAAACTTTGATATCAGAATCACAATGAGCCTTCATTAGGGGTAAGATTAATTGTTGATGATGTTCTTGTAGCAAGTGAAGTAATTGACACAAGGAGGATTGGAAGAGATGGTCTACTATGTGAAGTAGACATGGAGAAGGCATATGACCATGTAAATTGGAAGTTTTTGGACAATTGGACTACACTTTAAGAAGGGTCAACCTTAGTGAAAAGTGGGAGAATTGAATAAAAATCCCTCCTTTATGTTTTGGTAAATGGAAGTTCTTATTGAATTTCTGGAGCTCAAGGGACGTTAGACAAGGTGATCCCTTCTCTCCTCTCCTTTTCATTTGCATAAGAGTCTTAGCAAAATGGTTAAAAGAGCATGTTTGAGGGTGATGTTGAGGTGTTACTTTTGCAATTAAACCCTAATTTTTTGTGATGCTTCTGAAGACTAATTGTGGAATGTCAAGGCTGTACTGTGATGGTTACTGGCCGTCAGACAAATATTTTCCAAAAGTGAAATAATGGCAGTGGGAGAGCTGGCTGAATTAGATGGGTGGGGTGAAGAATGGGGGTGCAAAGTTTGGAAACTTCCAATGAAGTACCTGAGTGTGCCTTAGGGAGGCAATTTTAACATTGAAGCTATATGGAAGCCTGTTGTGGAAAAGGAAACATGCCTCACATAAAACTAAATATATGTCAAAAGGGGGATAGGTCAGACTAATCGTGTGTTGGCATCTTTGCCGATGCATTATTTATCCTTATTCCTTATTCCGGAAAAAAAATCTGCTGTATTGGTCCTATTGGAGAAGAAAATGTGGGGATTTTGGTGTGGATGGTTGAGGCAAAATATAATTCGGTGAGTCAGAAGGTTTGTAAAGCAAAGATGGGTAGAGTAGGGATTAGAAAATTGAAGTAGGTGAAATTGCCCTACTATTGAAGTGGTTGTTGAGGTTCAATAATCAACTGGACAGGTTGTGGAGGAAGGCAATAGCAGCTAAATATGGGTCAAATAACAGAATGTGGGATTCAGATGGGTGTTCAGAAAGTACCCCCATTTCATGAAAGGCATAAAGTATGAAGTTGGAAAATGGGCAGTGGCTGAGTATTTGGAAGTGCAGAATGATATACTGGGGTTTAGATCCCCAAATTCCGGAGAAATTTAAATGATTGGGAGGTGTATTCCCTTCTTAACCTCTTTTAGTTGTTGTATAATAAAAGGCCAAGTGGGGAAAGGGAGGACAGGAGGGTGGGGCTATATAGAAGTCAGGCAAGTTGACCTCTACTTGACCTAATAATCTGGCCCAATTTGCATCCCTTTCTCTTTCAAAGATTGCAAATGATATCCATTTGTCTTGATTCAAATTTGAATATTATCCAATCAACATGATCTGAATTTGATCTATTTATAATTGGGTAAAAAATCTACCCAATCAAATTGAATATACAATCTTTTCATGGGTAAAAAATCTACCCAGTCGATATGTGTGAAATGTGAAAATTACTTTTCATGTGTTTAACTGTATGATACACTTTTTGTTTCTTTAACTTTTTTTTTTTCAGTACAAGAATTCAGGGTTAGGTAAATAAACAAGGGTTCTAATGATTAAACATATACACCCCCATGGCCTAAAAAAATCCCTGTATTTGATGCATCTCTGATTTTCCAAGTTCAAGAATTTGGAAGAGAAATGTCCCATCCAAACTGTATTTTTTTTTTGTGGACTGCAGTTTTATGCAAAATATTAGCTAGAGAGAATCTGGTTAGAAGGGTCATATAAGTGAATGATGTTGGCTGTCACATATAGCAGATATGTAGAAATGGAAGATCACTTGTTACATTGCGATTTTTCATATAGGATATGGATAAAGATGCTAGAATTGTTTGGGCTGGAGATGTTCTTTCTGGGAGATATTAAGAGCATTTTAGGAGCTTGGGATTTAAAAGGTTTTAGTAAGGGCAGTAAGGGCGGTAAGAGTGGCATAGA